GAGAGAGAGAGAGAGAGAGAGAGAGAGAGAGAGAGAGAGAGAGAGAGCGCAAGGGGAGGAAATGGTTGCCGATATAGAGAATAAGGTGGACAACACATGTCTATATATAGTACTGCTACACACATAGGAGCTTAAGTTACAGGAAAAGAGTGAGAAGGAGCAATAGAAAAGGACAGAAGGGGAGGAGGACTGTGCAACACTAACTGAAAAGGGCCTGTTTTGGTGCTTTGTCTGCACCACTTAGCTCAGGTTTTGTTGGGAGGAGTTGGCCACCCAAACAATCACAGGTAGAGAATGGTTATCATGAGACTAAAAGGTTAGCAGAACAAGGGAAGGAAGTCATGCGTTTCCTTCCCTCACAAGTGATGGAAGGGGTGGAGATGAGTCAGTAAAAATGTGAGGTGGAAACGAGAAAGAAAAGAGAAAAGAAGAGGAAGGAGAGAGAAGGGCAGAATGCTGTCCTTCTCTCTTGCTTTTTATCTGATTAGTTCAATCAACAGTTCATCTTCTCTTTCTATCTGTCCATTGATTGACTTAGCTGAATCAAGGAGCTCCAATCACCCTACAAAACTAGTAGGACTAAATTATATTTGAGACTGCTAATGATATGGTAGCTGACAGCTACACTTGTTCATCATCCTGAAATATGCATCCCCTGTGTTTTGCAGGGTGTTTGTTTGCTTAAGAAGGTTGTTTCAACGAAAACACTTGCAACCTTGGGTTGACTAGTTGTTGTTTCATCGCTTACTTTATCTGCAATATAATCTATCAGCCTTAGAATGGTTGACTTTTGTGGCATTCAGAATATAGCAACATGCCATCTGAATAGTGTTTTCATCCTCTCAGCTCAGCATTCTAACATATTAGTTTATCAACATATTTAGTAGACTCTTGAGAAAGCAAGATTACTACTAATGTCTCAAAATTACTATTAGTTTTTGTTCAATATGCATTGTGGTTCATACAGAAACCAGAACAAGAATAGCTGTGTAAAAAAGGAAAAAAAAGAAGACTCAAATCATAGGACCAGTCATGACTGTCTGAGTCTCTGATCTATCCTTTGGGCTTCTTTTATGGTGTAGAATGCATTACTCAAAAAGGACAGAGTTGGTGTTATAGCTTGACTTAGTTCATGTAGTGGTCTGCCAATTTGGTTTGCTTACATGTCACCAACCAACCCCATTTGCTCTTTATTGCATGACTGACTTGGTGTTGGATTAGATGATCTTTTTAGAGCCATTTTCCATCACTAGCCACTGGATTCATGGCTTGCATCAACTATAAGGATTGCTACTATGATGCTTTAATATATATATACACACAGAGAGAGAGAGAGAGAGAGAGAGAGAGAGAGAGAGAGAGAGAGAGAGAGAGAGTTGGAAGTTGTGCATTGTGAACCTTACAATGGAAAGTCAATGGAAGAGGAGATGAGGAATCTGAGAGCAGGTTCTTGGATTAACAAAACTTGCCAAGTGTATAAAATTGTATGCATGATTGCATCAAGCTTATGCATAAAGATAGAGCAATGGAATGTATCCATTAATACAGTATTACATATCATGTGCTCACACCCATTCATGAGATACCATCATGACTGTATCTTATCTAAGAAGGCAAGAGTTGACCATTTCACCTTTTCCTACTGCTTGAAGATGGGTGTTTACATGTGCATGTGGGATGCCATTACATTGTGCTTACAGTGGTCCATTTATTTTCCTGCTTATTATATTAGGTATACATCAAGGAAGAACAGCTTGACCACCTTGACAGTGAGGATGCATGCTCTGTTTATGGGTGCTCACTACTGTGATTGCCGCTAATAGTTAATGTTTTCAGCTGTGTCACCCCATCTGACTCTTGGGTTCTATTTCATTGGATGAACTGAAAAGTTAGGAGATTTATATGCAGTACCAACAGTGGAGAAAATTATGCACAAACAGTAGGTAAACAAATGAAAATTTATTAGCAACACAAATGTACAGAGCAAATAACAAAGATGATGAAGCTAGGAAAAGCATTTACATTATTATACTTTGATGTAGCAAAATTGTATATGAAGTTTGCAAATCAACAGCTTGCCTATGTATGACTGCTGAAGCAAAATAATCAAAAAGATGAGAGTCATGAAAAATGACAACCACAACTTTTGATACTGGGTTTGCAGAGGAGCAAAGTTATTATTCTTGTTCTGTGACTGTGTAATCCGATTGATATCAGCAACTCTCATGCATTTGTCTATGTGATGAAGTGTTGGTATTAGTTCTAGCCTTTTTATGCCCCTAAAAGTTATCTTGATAACCAACAAGTTACAAATGTAAGAAATTATTGAGAAATTCCATTGCCACCAGTGACAAAAGTATACAGCTATTGCATGATCTGCACAGTTCAAGCAAGAACAATGTCCAGTATGGTAATACATGTTCTCCAATCAAAAGTAAATACATGTTCTCCAATCAAAAGTAAATATATTGATTGATACAATAAGAAAACAAAGGAAACCAACCTGCACTTCATCTTGCTAGGTTACAAAACCACCTGCACATCTAGTCGCACTTCATATTGCAGAAGATTCACTTTCTTGTGAAAGAAAAGGCTGCAGCAAAGCTGGCTTCCATATGTCCATGTCTCAATGAAATGCCAAAGCATCTGAGGCAGCTGCTGCTAAAACATCCCAAACTTCTATATCATGTTCTACAACCTAAACAAGATACCTAGAGTTGATCATTTACTCAGTTACAGATGTGTCATTGCAATTGGCAACGTACAGATTATGGTTGGCATTGATGAATTTGTACAAACCTTTCCATAAATTTCTAGGCTTGATAAAGGAGCACTTGAAGTGTTACATATATATACATATATATAAAATCTGTGTACATAAGATACAATCTGTTTTGTGCAAATATTGCAGACATCAGGGAGAACAAAATATACAAGTACAATAACATATTGGAACCCTGTGTCCTTCAAAATTCAAGAAGAATGTATGTAGGAGACAGGCATAAAAAGCCAGAAACACATGGCATTATAAAGAGGAAGAGCTCCTTCTGCATTTATGAGCTCAAGCTACATGATTGTTCTGACAGTGGGTGAAAGTAGATGACTCATCTTGCTATTCCAGTTCACCGGAGATAGAATGAATGTGTAGAGCAACCAGATTTTTGAAAGCCAAGACGGGCATATGAAAGCTATGATTAGAGACTGAAATGTAGGGCCATTTCACCATCTTCAGATGGATCATTGATGTTGCTGGAGTGGTTATCTGCATTCCATGCATAAAACAGTTCACAAGTAGGAAAAAAGACATTATCATACATTATTAGAAAACAAAAGAAGAGTGTCAAAGCTTAGAAGAACCATGAGGTTTATGTATTATATAGCATCACAAAAAGATAGGCTTGATCTTATATTGATGAACATTGTTGTCCATTTACATGTGCATTTGCAAGGTTCAACTACGAACAACAGAAGCATTCAGCTCAATTACAGTCTCATGTATCATCTCTGTTTCAATCTTAGGAGGTCGAATTGGAATCAGATGACCAATCAAAATGAGTATGTGGTCCATGATGAGCCAAACCCTTGTCAGTAATCCCCCCAGTAAACTTATATACACCAGGCTGGTATGTGGCCAGCTTCCAAGTGATGTGTTGTCCACCTTGAGTTCTTGTCATCACCATCAATATTTTCTGTAGTAGCAACAAGACAAGAATGAATTCGACCTGCCAATTAATCTCAGTTCAACAACTGAGATTTTAACTGATAGTTGCAACATGGAATATGCCAGGCACGGAAATGAGGCATGACATATGCTGTGTCACATGTGGAGGCACCATCTTCACGGGGACAAATGACAGTGTGGATGTGATAAAGCTGCA